CGCCCCGCCTCTCCGCCCCCCCTCGCCTGTGGCCCCCTCCAGCCGCAGTTAAGTCGGGGAGCACCTCCGGTCTGAAGAGCCGGGCGGGCAGCTGGGCGAGTCCCGCGGGCGATCCTTGCGCGCCTGGGGCCTCGAAGCAGCGTGAGCCGGCTCACACACTCATGCACACACACGCGCGCACACACACACGTGTGTGTGTGCGTGTGTGTTTACGTACGGAACGCGCGGGGTGGGAAAACAATGGCGAGCCGCTGAGAACTGAGCGATTCCCCCTCCGCATCTCCCTGCATCTCCCTACACTGAGGCGCGATTTGCTTTTGCAACGAAACAGGGATGAAAAGGCCCACCTCCGACACCCCGGGGTGGGAGGCGGGGGTGGGGTGCAGATTTTGAAGGATTTCAGATTTTGATGGAAGGGCGGCCCGAGTGCGCGGCTGACCCCCGACACCCCACACCACCGGGGTGGCGCAGCTCTGCGTCTGGTCGCAGGCACCCGAGCCCCAGGGCGCGCACACGTCGCCTCGGCTTCCCGCGGAGAAATCCTTAAACTGGGCGCATAGTCAGGCTGGTGGGAGCCGGTGGACGAGAAGCGGGCGTGGGGGGCGCACCCCAAGTTCGCCTCGCGTGGTGTGTGCGCGCCCACACACACACACGGAGCCACCCACGGTCGTAGGGGCTGCCACCCCTCTCCACAAGGACGCAGGTCTCCCCGAAGGGGCTTGCCGCCGGCAGGCGTTGTTGGGGGGCAGATGAGGGCTCCTTCCTCCTCGGAAAACTTTATAAGGGATGGAAACTCGGAGGGACGAGCCGGCGTGTGCCCAGCAACGTGGGGCGCGAGTGTCAAACTTCGCAGGGCTGGGGAGAGGGGGGCGACGGCGCGCTCGGGGCGCACTTACTACTCAGCCAGGCGCTCGGCTTCGGGCTCGCCGCTCCGCGCTCCTGCTCCGCCTCCTCCTCCGTGCGGTCCTCGCGGCTGGTAGCTGGGGCTTCCCGCTCACATACCCCGGCGACGCAACGTGCAGGCCGGCGGGGCTGGAGCAGCTGGGCTGGGAGGGGGCACGCCCCCCACCGTCGGCCTGGGAGTAGCTCCGGACCGGTGGCCACCGGGATCTGCGCCCCGAGGGGCTGCCTTCCCCGGCGGCGAGCTGGTTCCGGCCGGGCCCCTCGGCCGAGGCAGGCCTCTCTCTGCACTCTGCCCTCTGCCCTGGCTTGCGGCCGCGTCCCTGCCTTCCGCGCTCCTGCTCCCGGACTGGCCCGGACACTGCGCCGGCCCGCCCCGCTCGGCGGCTCTCGGGCTCTCCCGCTCGGCGCTCCGAGGCAGGGGCTCCGACGCTGGCGGCGCGGCC